TCATTTCTTGCACTATGTCCACGTAAACAAATCAATTTTAGGTTATTTGTCTGATGGCACGTGAAAATATGTTGAATGTTGAACTGTTAGATGCGTTATCATCAGTGATATTCTCAACGCAAGGTGCTGTTCGTGTTGCCGCACTTCGGCTATTCTCTATCATTTGCAGGTAGCGTTTGATTTTGTTGTTTTTCATTGCTGCTGAATTCACAATATGTATTCGTCTGCCATTTTTTAATAGATACACTTAGGGCTTCATTAGATAGTTTTTTAAAATTGTTCTGTTGAGTGTAACAGCCCGGAACTATTCGTGAGTTATTCGAGAATTTTCAAATATTTGGAGAGATCAAATGATACTATCAAAAATTCTTCTTTAATGACACCGCACTGAAATGAATACGGTGTCATTGAATGGTAATATTGTGAGTGATAAGATGTCAAAAGTAATCATAATTCAGCATTATCAGACGCCTATTTCATGCGATTATATTAAAACATTCATTGCACCACTCAANTAATCATAATTCAGCATTATCAGACGCCTATTTCATGCGATTATATTAAAACATTCATTGCACCACTCAATAATTTCAAAATCGAATTAAAATTATTGTCCGTATCGTATTGAATGAATGACAGATGATGTCGTATTCTCGCATATTATAAAATTATGTTGAACTATATAATTCAGCGTGATAATATTTCAGAGCTAATAAAAATTTCATGCGAGAACGTTTCGAATTTTTCGTTGAATTGACTCGTCGTGAAGCATTCTTTGAATCAGACAACGGTACGCTCGCATCTGAATTCATGAATGCAATCTCAATGTTGGGTGGATTGCCGAATGCAAGAGATCTGACGACTCTCAGTGAAAGACCGTTCAGAATACCCGATTCACATCGTATTGTACGGTGCATTCAAACGCTACTCATCGAAAGTTAGTTGATTCTTCGGTACTCTTTCATTGTACGAATAGTATTCATTGTGGTTATCCTTTTATTGCACGTGTCAAGCCGAGCATCATAAATTCAGTGGCCAATAATCTATTTTAACAGTACTAATGACAGTGAATATTGCAGATGTAAGCAACAAAAGTTATGAATGGTTATGTGTGATGAACAAAGCGATAGATGCTCTTTTCTATACGGCCCA